TATGATTCTATGATTCTATGAAAGTCATACTTAAAAATGAAAATTAGACAAAGTGGAGGAAATATTAGTATGGTCTTGATCTCATCAGTTTATTGTTTTAATCGATGAACATTATGTCTTTTTAAAACAATTTAAAAATCTTCCTTTTGTATTTGTATCACCAGGGTATTATTTAACTTCCATATCTTTATAAGCAAAATTTTATTCTTTTGGGGATCACTGAAGAATCATTCTAAGAAATGATTCCGGGAATGGTACAGTTAGAGATGATATATGCAGAAATTCTGAAGACTTGAATTAAATCTGATCTTGAGAAGGCTGGACACAGGGGAACCAAGGCTCTAGTGTATACCTATCTCCGAAGTAAAAAATGAAAATAAATTTCCCTTAGGTAGCGAGACAACAATTTATATTAGGTGGAACCAGGAAGAATAATGGTTTGTTAGTGGCACAAATGGGCAGCAAAAGAAAGTTACTGTGACTAAAAATATTTGATAACATTAACTGGATGTAGGCAGATCTCAGAGCTCCAAATGCATTTGGATCAGAGCAGATGACTGAAGTTGCTTGTTCTGTTTGCAGGACATAGGATTAGTCTTCTGTGAAATACAAAATCCCAGAGTTTTTCTTTCTAAACATTACTAAGGGAACAAGATTATAAAAGTCTATGAGGAGTTAGAAAACATAAAAAATTACATTGCTTTTGAGAGACAATATCAAATTTACTGTAGCATCATCTATCTCTCTCTTTTGCCCTCATTTTCCAGGGAAGCCCAGCTTTTTGTTGAAAAGTTTGAGGGTGCTCTTGGAAAAGGAAAAGGAAAAAAATTCTATGCATACAAAGTGATGATGACGAAGGTAAATTTATTATTTCACTGACTTCATGTAATGCAAATGGAGAGCCTTTCCAGATTATTGCCATATGTACCCATGTTCCAAAATAGAGTTCCTTGACTGTCTTTGCATTTTAACACTTTTATTTCCACTGCATTCATATGAAAAGATTTCTAATGCAAGCTCACAATTTGATTGAGACTTGTCATCAAAACAAAAATCAACTGTTTTGCAAGAGTTTGCAAGAGTTTAATATCTTGTGAAAGTTAATTTCTCTTGGTGTAGATTGGGTTTTTCTGTGGACTGAATCCAAAACTCAGTCCTTCCTTTGAGACAGCCCTCTGTGAAGGATCAAAAAGTGTCTTTTTGCCCCACAGCAAAAATACTGTAGGCATCTCCACTGAGCCAAGCCTCTAGGGCCACATATATCCTAGGAAGCAATATGGCTCTGTAGGATTGTGACCGAAAGGCCGAACAGTGGTTGCTGTGGACCCAATGTCCACACAATATGCGTTCTGGCAGGTCTTTCTTTGAGCTAAGTCCTGTGTGGTCCCAGAGACTAAATACCCAGTAGCAGTGGATGTGGATTAGCTTGCTCCTCAAGTACATTCCTCAGGTACATCTTTTGTCTTAGTTTTATGCTCTGACACTGCTTTACAGTGCAAATGTAAGTGTGGTAATTTGGGATGGTTTGGGAGATTCGCTTCAAAAGCACAGTCTTGCCTCAAACTAAAATGCTGATGCAGAATGATGCTAAGAATATTTGGCAGGACTACTTGCGATGCGCAGGTTTACCCTTGGTTAGATTGGATTTTCTGCAAGCGGTTGTGTAGTCACATCTCATAAGCATTAATATTCACAAAAAATAATCAGGCTTTCAAACTCAGCTGGGCACAGGAAGCTCAATTACAGAAGTTATACTTATCCAATAGATAAACTACTGGGTAGAGTAATTGTAATTAAATGACACAGCTTGAGCTCCAGATCTGAATTTTGAATAGCAAAGGAAATAACAAATTAAATTCTCAGAAACAATTCTAAAAAAAATGAGTAGCATGAAAGGAAGAGATTATTTAATCATTCTTCTTGTGGAAGAAATAAGGAATACACACAAAGCCAGGAAACATATTCAGAACAAACAAAAGGAGATGATACTTCATGAGCTAGTGCTTCTACTGTAGTGGGCTCTGCCAAAGGATACTGTGGATAATTAAGGGGTTACATTAGCTCAAGGGGAAATTGAGCATCTGGGCACTGAGATGATGGTGGTTTTTTTTATCTGTGACCCTTTTCAGAAATGGATGAAATTTCAAAGAGATTTTGAGAATTTTAAGACAGCCTGCATACCCTGGGAAATGAAAATTAAGGAGATTGAAAGTAAGTACTTATGGAAGGTAATAATGAATAGTATCTAGTATCATATTCCTGATGCATGTCAAAATGGTAAATTACTTTTCGATACTTTAGAAATACATGTCTGTATTCAATGTGTAGTAAAAAATCAATAAGTATTTATTTTTCATTAATATTTATTGAGCTTGATATTACAGCTACTTGAAAATTTCCTTGAGAGAGTGTTAGTCACCTTACAGATAAAAATCCTCAATACACAGGTAACAGTTCAGGAGCCAGTGTTGAAGTTAATCCTAGAATAGTGGAATTGGGATTTCGCTATTACCTACCTTCACTTTATTTTGTCTATATTTATACAATAATTATTTCTGTGATGTTTTTTCATCATCTTCAGTCTTATGTAAGAGGTATTTTGGCATTATTTCTCTCATTTTCAACCATGTAATACAACACAGAGAGAACAATAGTGGTCTTGGATGTCCCCATATATTAGGTATAAATATAAACAAAACTACAGATATGTTTGAGAGTAGGTTTTTGGCACAAGCCAGTTTTGTGTTTCAGTTCCAGTGATGAATTTAAATTGTGGGCCCCTGTTTGAAGGAAATTTGGCTTAACTGCATGGGTACCTGAGTGAGGCTTTACCACTGATGAAATGCAGATGAAAATGCAATGAAAACTGATTTTAGAGAAGTTGCCTTTGGAAGAATCTGTGGGTTGCATCAAAAGGCAATAACCAGAACAGTGGAAGGACAGGAAAATGATAAATTGTGAATTTTTTTTGAGTTTTGGACTGCAAAATAACCCTTGAGGAGAATCTATATAATGTCCTTAAACATATGGTCTACAGACTGCTGAACAGATTATCTACTCACTTGAGGTGGAATTTAGAACGAAGCTGCTGCACATGTGTAGTTAAAATCAAACTCAGCAGCAAGATGCACATGGTTTCTTGCTGGTCTGGACACATAATAGACACCTTGAGGATTTGTGAGAGCAATGTTGCTGCAAATTTCTGTAAAGGAGTAGTTCTGACACAAGCTGTTCTGTTAGTAATAACTTCCAATAGACTTTCATGTAAAATCAGAATGTAAAAATAGAACAGGCTCATTTTTCCAGTCCTGCTTTTATATATATTTATTTTTTCATTTGAACACGAGTAACATTTTTGCTGTCACCTGGAAGGTTCTAAAATCACAGAGGGAGAGTACCTTTTCCTGATCTCAAGGGATAAGATTGTGAAGTTTACTCTTTTTCTATTAATTTTTGTTCTGTTCAGTGTATTGCTAAGGCAAGCTGCTATTGCTTTTATTTGCAGAAACAATCCTCTCTGTGAATATTAGTAATTTAAGAAGTACAGTTAAACCACAGTTTGGTCCAAAACTCTATAGTCTAGAAGGCTTGATTTCAAGGGACCAGCTCTGAAATATTGCTGAGGAAAAGAATTTTAAGTCACAGTTTATTTGATTCTGGTTAATCCAAGCAGTAGCTCTCAGCATGTACCTCATATTAGCGAATTTGCAGGACTAAGATCAAGGTCATCTTAATGATGACACTGATAAAGCTGCCAATTCCCAGAAAAAAAGGGGGTTTCGGTATTAAAAAAGGAGAAGTGAGGGAAACTCAAATGGAAAAAGGCTAGTCTGTGTGTAAGGGAAGAGCAGAGATTAAGATTCATTGAGTCACAGAGACCAAAAAACTGTTGCTTCAATTTTTTCTAGAAACCTAATTGTCATCTAAATTTATATGTAAGTAAGATGTGTACTACATTGGTCATATTGTATCAAGTTTAGAAAAAACCTTATTTTTTAACATTTAACAAACTGTTGGTGCTGAATCAAGTATTACCCTGCATTCTCCAAATTTCGGGTTAGCAGAGTCAGTAGGAGATCATTTGTAAAACCATTGTTTATATCAAGCTCTGATCAAAATCTCCAGGTTTGATCAGAGATAAAATACAGAACATATTGGAGGAGCAGGCACCTTTTCAACAGAGTCAGCTTCAAGCTTGTATGCGTGAACTCCAGGGAATGAAATGTTTTTAACAATTGCTGTCCTCAGACACACAGTTGTGTTAAAAAAGCAGAAGTAACTCTGCAAGGGGAGGCGTGTTTCCAGATGGTTCCAAACAGAGCAAGGACCTGATTCCCCTTTGACTCCTAGCAGCAATGGCTTTCTCTTCTGGGGCTCAGTTCAACCCCTTGTAAAATGACAGTAACACTAGTGATTTAAATATATGACATCAATCAACGAGCAGAATGTGCCTGATACTGCTTATAAAGAATTTGGCAGAAAAATATCTTTGGTTGCTTAAGACTTTATGTAAGACTTGCTAAATGAAGCATATTGGACACCTTAGAGAATCTTGCTGGCACAGGCAACACCTCGCATGTAACCACTGGATCCTTCAGTCCACCCAAAGTACTGAGGAGTGGTTGAAGAAAATGGTTGAACTCTAGGCTTGGATGCCAGGATCAATGTTTAAAAAGACACTGTTGTTGGACAGCATTGTTTGTGGTGAGTCCTTAGTCATGTCAGTTCCCGTGGGCTGCAGTCTCATGTGGCAAAATATGGTTGCATAGAGGAAATCAGAGGGAGCATTGTCTATATGACAGCTCATTTTTGGAGGACACAGTTCAGTGAAACAAGCAGCAAATGACATCAGATTGTGACAGGTAAAGTAGGCTGTTTGAACCACTCTTGGAAACCTGATGATGTAAAATTCACTGGCTCAGTTCTGCACCACAGAGTGGGGTCTGTACGGCTGCTTTCCATGTCACTACACATTTTAGCGTTTTTAAACTAATGTTTCTTTTGTGATAATTTTTCCATCAGAACACATGCATACACACAGGTATGTATCGGGTATGTTTCATTCACCAGTTAAACATGTCTGAAAATGAAATGTTCATGGGTAGCTTCTGCTCCTTCCAACAGATGGGATTATAGTTGAGCAGTCTCTTAGCCCAAAGAAGCTAGAGGTGAAACTTTTATATAATCCTCCGTGATCACTGTTAATACTATGCTACAAGCTATTTTCTTTCCAAATGCAGGCACTAACCATAGAAGTGTAAGTATTAACAGGGTTTAAGTCATGTCAACAGCACCTAAAAAAGTCAAGAATTTATGAAATTTCAAGTTCTGTTTGAATCTTGTGTGATCTCAGCTAAAAGAAAGTGTAAGCAGCAGGAGCATGAATGGAACAAAAGCCTGACACTTATGTGCAGACTACTCTGTATAGGAAACCTCTTCATTTGGCTAAATATCTTTGTGTGAGGGAATAGTTTATGCTCAGAAAACCTTTACAGTTTTTAGCTTCCAACCAGTTAACTTCTCAGCATAAGTCATCTTTGTGCTCTTATGTGAAGATGATTTGCACTTTCTGATCTCAAAGTGAGCTCTTTAAAAAAAAATCCCAAGCAAACAAGGCAGTAACAGTTTACAGTAGAAAATGGGGGGAGTAAATATAATTTTCTAACTGCTGAGAAACACTAAAGTTTATTCTTTAGTCTTCTAAAAAACTGCATCTGACCAGCAATGCATGACTTGTCAAAAAAAAAAAACAGTTTCAGAGCACTAACAATCTTTGCCTTATGAAGTAGCTTTAGTGCAGGACTATCATGATACCTACTTTGAAATCTAGAGGATCAACAAAGCAAAGGACATCAAGCCATGTATTAATAGAATGGCAAAGATTGGTCTTCTTTGTGATGCGGTTCAGGAGTTAACATGTAATAGAGGCTCTTTTTCAGAAAACCTGATGCTTATATTGTAGTGTTGTTGGGTGTTGATCCATTCTCAAAAGTAGCCAGGGTTGGAGACAGATTGCAAATGAAAAGTGGGTTAAGGTCCTGTATAGTGGCAAAAGATCTGTTAGGTACTACTGGGGAAGATTTCTTTGACTTAAAAAGAAATACTGTACTGGTAAAACAATGCTAGATGACATAGAAATTTTTCCCTCATGCACACTGAAGAGGATAGGTAGCTGTGCCACCCTATCACTGCCAACTGATGCAGGAAACTTAATGGGAAAAGCAACATTGTAATAAACACACTTTATGAGAACAACAGAACTGCTAAACTCACATAAAGTCAATAGAAACAGTAGAGCTTTAGGAAAAACAAGGTCAAATGAAGAATGTGTTGGACTGGGGAAAGTGGCACACATGTGCCTGGCAGTGCTACTGAACTGAAAAATTCTGTGGGCTATTACTTATACGCTGGAAAGACCTGGGAAGAAAATGCTGCATACTGAGCAAACTCTCTGTATTTGGAGTTGTGTTGGTATACCTGGGAACTCCCAAGGTGTAAGACACAAGTGTTATCAAGCTTTTTTTGTTACAATAGTTTCAGCTTGATGGGAAAATTTAAACAGACTTCAGGAAGATACTTTTGATAAACAAAGGGCTCCTTTAGGATAGGTCAGACTAATCTAAGGAGACCAGCTAATGTTATAGGTAAATCTAAGGGCTCTTGTCTGCTTTGAAGAAACAAGTCTGATTTTATTTCAAGGCCATTTGTAGATACCCAAGAACCACCTTGACCACATCAAGTCAGATAATTCAGCAGTCACACTACTGTGCCTTATATGTGCTACAGAAGAGTATAGGAAAAATAAATAAATATTATTCACTATTAATCATTATTAATATCGGCATGACAAGACACACCACTGTTTTAGACTTTTCATACTGTGTCCTAAACTACAAACTTGCATTAACCACACATTTAAACTTTATACAGGGATTGTTTCTGGAGGGACTATGGACTGGCAGCAGGAGGATTGTTAATGTTTAGATACTAAAATTCTTGAAAGAGTTTTCCTTTCTGTGGTAATTATAATCAACAATGTCATTTAATAATAATAAATAAAAGAATAAAGAAAAAAAGAGAGTAATAAAAAGAAAAAAGGAAAGTGCTAACTACATTTAAGGCCTAGCAAGAAAACTCATCTTTAACCTCTGCTTACTTTCATAATGATCCTCACTATAACAAATAGGGCACTTCTTATCACAGCCCTCTTCACTTGGGTTGGACTCTTCCAGGCTGCCAGCTATCTAGGAAGACCAGGTATCAGCATGAAGTGCTGGGCTATCGCAGGGTGAAGATGAAAGTCCTTTCTAGCACAGGGAGCCCAGCTTCACAATAACAGGCATCAAGCTCTGCTGTCCTGCATCCTTGTGTCAGAAATAGGTGAATCTGCTGCTGGGATTTTGATGTTTAAGAGAGATAGAAGTTGATAAATATATGAAGTATTTATATTTAGAAAAGACACGCTTCTTTTCCTTGCAGAATAGACATTCAGTAATATCTGTGCAACAGGACTTTATGGGAAACACACATTGCTGTGTTGGGACAGGGCGAGCCTCTTCATTCCACTGCTGAAATTACTATGCATGTCAATCTGCGTGCCAATGCATAGTATGGTGAGGCTGTGGATGTGGGAAAAGATGGCTAAAGTCTACTTTAAAGTATTACTCTTGCATTCATACCTGGAACATGTTGCACCTCAGAGCGGATTCAAAACACTGGTGAAACTTGGACTGGTTTTGTTCACAGCTGGTGCAGGGTCTTTGTACCATTTTTCATGTTCCCTGTTGCCCCCTGTTTGGACCTGCCCATTCTGGAAATGTAGTTAAGGACATCCATAGCTAAATTATTCTCATCCACAGCTAAGTTTTTCATTTATCAGAGGTTGCTGTTCTTGCCTCATTGGTGGAAAAGAATAAATCCCATGCACAGTCTGTGCATTGTGACTTGCAATAACTATACTGATGCATGTAATTCCAGTGCAGTGCCTTAATGCCAATGTTCCAGTTGGATGCATGGCAGTGATTTCATCAGGATAACTGATACAAGAACTATAACTCAATGCATGGAAAGAAGCTATTCCCAAAAGAATGGGGATATTAGGATTTGAGCAAAAGAACTAATGCAGCATGGAGAGGTCTACACTATCAAAAGTGTCTTGAAATCAGAAATCTTCCTAATTTCCTGCACTTCCTTTTGAGACCATAGCAACCCCAAAGGCTGTAGCTGGGTTGTGATTGGGTAATCGGCGTATCAGAGCCAGATTGCTAACTCTTGCTTTATGCCTCTACCCAGACTTCCGAGTATGTAGGCCAGTGCTAAGATTGGCTACTTCTTCATGCAAAATTTCAAAATTGTGGTTTAATTCTGAACTGTGAATAAAGCAGGTTTTGAAATGCTGAAATCCTTGACAGAATGGCTTGTTCCTCCCTTTGCACAGCCCTGATAAATGTCTCTTACTAGTCAATCTCTGTTTATACTCTGGGGTTATACTAGTTTAAGTGTATTAAATTTTCTGCCGATTTTGTTGTTATAGTAAAATGTGCATATATATGCCCGAAATAGCACCAGCCATGTTAACCTCATTTTACAGAATGGAAGAATCTGTTACAAGGCTTGCAGAACTGTATGGAAATACCAGTGTAAACTCCTCTGAACAGAGAGATTTTCTTCTCATTATTTGCCATCAGAGTGCATCAGACTCCTTAACTAGAGTGTGTGTGAAAAACCTGTTGAAAGGTCACCTTTTTCCCTGCAAATGGTAACAGAATTGAAATCCGGTATTTTGCTAACTGTGACAGACAGATGAGCACGACTACCAACTGTCATATATTCAGCAGAGCTGTGCTGCAGCAAGCTGGGGTTGAATTTGAACTGTTATTTCTGTTTGGCCTGACTTGCAGAGTGTTGGTCAAATCAGGCCTTTAGTGCTCACTGCTTCCCCCGCAGCCTCTCCTTCTTCTTTGCACAGGTCTGGGTCAGGGGTCTAGAGCGATTAGAGTCCTAGGCTTCATCTGTGCACCAGGTGATGGGACTGCTTCCACACCTGGGTGCAGATGGAACACATAAATAGCAAAGTAAGAGAAAGAAAGGGTACAAACACTTATAGATATTTTTGTTCTTCCCTAGTGAACAACTCTGGTGAGCACTCAAATAACAGCACTTACAAGTATTTTGTGCCCTTGGAAAGACTATCCCCACTGGCTAATTCTGTGCTGCTTCCTATTAAAACTGGGCTGGTGTTGGCTTAACATGTCAAGAATACAATCTACATCAGACAAAAAAAAAAAAAGAAAAAGAAAAAGAAAAGAAGTGTGATTTGCTTTGAATTCTGCCACTAGAGGATTTAATATTAGTAAATATCACAGCTTTTACATGACCCTAAATACTCTGTACAAATAATACTTTTTACATTTTTTGTTTCTGTTTCCTCTGCCAGGTCAGTGAATGCTAATATGCAATCTACAAAAAAGTTATTAGCATTATGGTAATAAAGAAAATGAAAAGCCTCCCCTGATTTTATTTATTTTAAATAAACTTTGAGCATCTTCATCTTGAGGTAAAATAACATTAAAGGACTAACTTACCTGCCCTTTTTTCACATCTGATACTTTCATAGGTCACTTTGGCTCATCAGTAGCATCTTATTTCATATTCTTGCGATGGATGTATGGAATAAACATGATTCTCTTTGGACTGACCTTTGGACTTGTAATGGTGCCTGAGGTGGGAATCTTTTAAATTATCATTGAGAACTGTTATTTGTGTTTCACTGTTATGTGAATTTCTGTCTTTGCAGTGAGCTTTCATAGGACTGGATCGTTAAATAAATTTGTAATCTCTTTATGCTCCATTTAAAAGTATTAAGGTGTACTAAGGCTGTAAAGATATACTTTCTTTGTGGACAGTGGTCTCTACAGAGAGATGTCTTGAAATAGACACGACAGGAAAATATATATAGGGTTGTGTCCTTAAAGTGTTTTCCCATAGTCTGGGATGGTGGTAAACTTCTCTTTTTTTCTATGGAGAACTAAGGAGAGGAACTGAGACTAAGAAGCAGCCAAGTGAGTGTCTTGACTAAAATGTGCGTTGCAACAGAAAGATACATTCCAGTCCTCTGAGGCACCATGGATCCTTTCCAATTGCCTTAACACTCACATACTGGTAAGGCCCAACAGGGCTGTAAAGTCACGACAGCGACCCCTCATGTTCTGTGCTGTGTGCAGCATCACTGCTAATAATGTTGCTCAGAGCAGATGTAATTCAGGCAGAAATCACTTCTGTGAAATGTAGTATTTTTCTAGTTCCTTTGAGCCACCATATTGTCTTCCTAAAAAGAGGGCTTATACAGAATTAAAAGTATTGTGCCATCTCCCTGATTTCACTATTCCACATCCTATTACTTATCTTCTCATAAGCAGATGGGAACAACAGCTTCCTAGTACAGCATTTCAATAGCATGATCCATCTCCCATTGAAGCCAAAACAGAGAAAATGCCCAACAGCTTTCAGGGTAAAGCCTGGAAAGAACCCTGTGAGGACATATACTGCAGCTGAGCAAGCATCTCACCAGCAGCAGAATCCAAAAACTGACTCCCTAGCATCTTCCCATACATTTCAATGAAAAACCCAATAAAATCCATAATGCAAGAGAAATGAACCTTCTGGTCTTGTCTGTAAGACAAACACCACTGGGCGGAATTTGGACTTCTGTGTTGCCTTTGAATGTAAGAGGCATAGTTTGACAATCCATTGATACTAGTGGAACATCACTTTAAATTTAGAAAACACCATTAATGCATACTTTAAGCATTATTTCAATCCTTAATGTGAGGAGCAATGAAAAGAATTGGAGAAGTAGGTCATCCTTAGTGAAGAGTTTAAGAGCATAAAACAAGTCTTCCTAAGAAATGATAGATCACTGTCCATTTCCTTTGTTGGTATTTTGCTTTAAAATATAAATTGCTCTCATTTTTTGGTTCCAGGCTTTGATGGGGAAGCCATATGGCTCTTTACCTAGAAAAACAGTCCCAAGAGCTGAAGAAGCAAGTGCTATGAACTTTGCTACTCTCTGGGATTTTAGTGTAAGTGCATAAACATGCAATACTTCATATTCACATGACTCTCTGATTATTATGGGCTTTTACTTCATTATTTAATATTCAGAGATTTAATATGAAATATTTCAGGAGAAAATGGCAATAGAACTAATTTACAAATTTTTTTTCACAAGTTCTGAGTATAGATGTTTCCTTCAGACAAAACATATAATGAAGCTCAATGTCCACACACAAATTTCAGTATGTATAGCAATCCAAAGACTCATGGGAAAAAGTCTCAAAGCTGGATTCACATCCCTGGGTACTGACTTTCCATTTCTTTAGGGGTGAATTTGGTCCTCTGTTTTTATATGATTAAGGTTCCAAATTTAAGGAATCAGTGTGACTTAGAAAAAAGAAAAGAAATTCCAATAATGTGCTCTGTAGGCTTTTTCTAAACCAAAGAATGCTAATTTTAGTTTTTCTCAGTCTTACAGAATATGCAGATATTTTAGCTGAATTGAGAAACATGTCTTAATTCTTTACTGTTGATGTGATGCCCAGTCTAGCCTGCAGATCTATACCTCCTGTATTGACAAGCTAATGGTATATTCTTAAATATGTCATACTGCTTTTTCTTCCTGAAAAAAACAGTTTTATCTAATTTTGCATGTGGCGTGTCTCTGTAGTCGGCCTCTTCATATAAAGATGATACAACTTTGCATAAAGTCAGCTGATGATAAATTTGGTTTTACAATATGTTGCTTAGAAGGCAGTTAGGTTTCTCTATGGCGTGCAGTCAATGTCATCAAAAGGTACTCTTTACCCGTGAAAGGGTGCAACCATCTAGTTAAGGTTTTCCTTCGGATTAATGGAAGCAGCATCCATTGAACTAAGTGTGATTTCTCCCTCTATCTGCTGCACTCTTTCTCTTCTGTAAGAAGTACCGAGACTTTTAAGGAGTTATGCATATACATATCTTTTAACACTTGAGTTGTTTTAGCAATAGCGAGCATGAATATGATGTTGGAAGCAGAGCCATTTCTTGGAAAAATAAACTCAGGTGCAGGTTCCTCCAGTTTACAGTTCAGCCTCTCCAGCTGTCTGCAGAACGACTCATCTAAAAGTGGCCTCTCCATGTAGGTTTGGCCCATGTGAGGTCCCGTTCCACCTGTGCCGGTGGGGAGAACTGTGCAGGCTGTGGAGCTCTACACAGGAAATCCCAGGAGGGGCATAGGAAGATTTTCATACCTGTCCCCTTTCCAATAGGAGGCCAGCTCTGATCTCTCCTGAAAAAACATAAAAAGCGTATGGTGTCTATGCTTCTCATTAATATTGCCTTTTTTTAGTATGGTTAAGGTGTGGAGAGATCCCTAATTTTGTGACATGCAGATCTCAAGCAAGATCCCTTGGTTTGTCTCCTCATGTGGAGACTCAGATGACGCCATGTTTTGGTCCTTTATTTAGCTTCCTTGGCTCTATTTTCAATCTTCAGCTACCAGTGGAGGAAGAATCAGGTTGTAAGATGACAGAACATTGGAAAAAACTTGGCTGGATATACCAATTTTCTCATTTACAAGCAAATCTTTCAACCTTATTAATTGTAGACAACTGAATTTAAAGAAAATAATATAATAATAGGTAGAAATTACAATGTTTGTCTGTCTTTTGACTATAAAGGTAAGTGAACAGATTACTTCTGCTTTATTTTGCCACATAAAGTGATGGACCCTCTTTGGATAAAAAAGGGTAGAAAGATCTTTGTAAAAAGCCATGTATGTAACATTTTGCAATGACTGCTGCATAAAATGACATTGCGTCTGGTTCACTGTACATTTGAGTGGCAGGAACAATACATCTAGACATGTAGCTGGGAAGTTAGATAATGACGACAACGTTACAAAATGAGAAATTAAAACATCAGGGAGATATTGGATAAAAAGGAATCATACTAACTTGGAGATTTTGTAAAGAGAATAGAGACTAGAAAAACTTTAAACAGCAAATGGGAACAAAGTTTTTAAAAGAAATGTATTTGAGAAAAGATGAATGAAGACAAATAGTAGAAAGAGAGGAAAAGTTTATAATAACTGTCAGAAACAGGATCTGACAGCTCTGAAGAAGAAGGTATAATAAATAACAGAGTGGCAGTTAACACAAGAAGCAAATGCAAAGGTAATAAACACAGAACAAGGCAGTGAAAGATTTGGATCCCCTGAAATATTGAGGGGAAAAAAGAATTTTCTTGAGGCATGTCAGATTGACAAACACTCCCTGAGGACAATGACATCTTTAATTAAACAGCACAGGAAATAGTACCTTTCATCTGCTAGCAATTCTTGTATGCTACCAAGTAAGTTACAAATAAATGAACCCACATCAGCAAACATTATTTCATCCTAAAAAAACTCCAAACCCCCACCAATCTTTAAGGCAGTAAAGAAAAGATGAGCTCAACATATCTTTTGCTTTTTTGTGCTTGAAATTGTACTCATTTTACTGACATGGCAAAGAAAAACAGTTATGGATTTTGATATATTTTACTTGGAATTCAGTTTTAACATTGTATATTTTACAGTTTAGATAATAATCCAAACCTAAACAAATCAGACTAGCAAGGCTCATGATAATAAATCTTTTGACCAATATTCTTATCTCACCCCTCTTTTACATTAGGCTCAGAAAGGAGTGAAAGAGATCTTCTGTGCATGCTTACCTTTACACAGCTAAAGATATTTCAAGTCTCATGGTGAAAAGCAGTAGGCAAAGCCTAGGAAACAACATACTGAATGATATGTGGTAGAGGAATTATCTCTGACTTTGCAGAAACACAGCAACTTAAAAAGCATTTTAATAATCTGATCCAAAAGGCTCTCCAGACCCATGTAGGGCTGTATTGAAACGTGGGCTAAAATGGAATTCTAGGATGCTTTAATGAGCAAAAAGATGCAAAAGACATACTATTGAGTTTGAATGTATTGAACCTGACTGATGTAGTTGTTTTACTAGTAACTAGTAATAAATATGTAGTATAAAAATATTTCCCTGATCAGAGAGGAACATACTGTTACCTGTTTTGTGTAGGCACATCTCTCAAAGCTAGTCTGATATGAAGAAAAATGTTGATTACCAAATCAAGACATTTTGAACAATACTTCTGTTTAACATATATTAATATTTCGTTTTCAGCTTAGAATTGTAAATTAGGTTTTCCAGATAAGAATGTGACTCATTTCATATATAGTAAGAGCTACAATAAATTAATTGCGTATTTTGCAATAATGTATGAGAAAGATGTTATTTATTTTAAGTAGAATGAGCAACTGAAAAGCAGAAGGAAAGTAAATGGCTTTTTTAATTCACTTTTTTAATTCGCAAAAATTCAGCTTGCTGTATTAGTGTCAAAATAATGCATGGTCTATGTACCAACTACATGGTCAAATACTCTGATTTGACTTGAAATCATTACATCCAGCTGGAGCTGTGCATGTGCTGAGCTGTCCTTGTAAAGGCTCTGGATACAGTCGTCTTCTAGGAGGTGAGTTCTTGTTCTAACCTGAGGATTATCAGGAAGATTTAGCTATCTGGATCATTTTAGATACCAGCAATTGCTTACAGTTAATAAGGTACTAGTAAATTATTTTGAAAAATCAGCAATCCAACCAGTAGAAGAGAGGGTAATTCTCATTAAGATTTTTAGAAAAGGAGATACACTTTGAATTGCTGAGAAAGAAGGTACACTTACATTGTACCTTTTACAGACTTGGAGTCCACGTGTTAAAAAACCCTGCATATTGAATAATCATCCATAAAATGCAACTATTAGTTAACGTGTATTGAATGATCACCCAATGAACAGCAGACAACATTGCTAGACAGAGAAGGCACGTGAGAATTTTATATCAAATAGGCTATGCAAGCAAATTTTAGAAATGTGAAAATTAAGTTAAAAATTTGGCATTTTATCTGCAAGTACTTTGTAAAAAAAATTTTGTAAACTGAAATGGTTTTGTCTTTACAACTTGTCTTTGTCATCCACAAATCCAATACTCATTAAATTGTAGATGGATTGCCCATGAAGAGTTTTAAAGATAAAAGATTTGAAGTTTGACATGAAATATTCTAAGTCTTTCTAAATGAAAGGGGAGATTTTCCACCCTGTGGGATTTATTATAGTCATGCTTACAACTGTTTTGAATGCATTGAAATGAATGTTTTAGTACATTGCTATTGGTACAATTTCTGATTATGTGCATATTTAACAAATGTGACATTATAATTTTTGCTGACTTTTCAGGGCTTTGCACAGTATTCTGTACTCTTTTATGGTTACTACAATAACCAGAGGACAATTGGATGGCTCAAGTTCAGGATGCCTCTTTCATATTTCCTTGTTGGAGTTGGGACTATTGGCTACAGCTTTATGATTGTCATTCGAACGTAAGTTCTTCTTGGCTCTGGAATAAAGTACATTCAAAAAGGCAGATAATTCTGCTGTTGACCACTGAGACTAATTTTTTTAAAAAATATGATAATTGTAAAGGCAGGAAAATGCAAGATCAAGTGCAAGGTCAAAGTCAGGTAAAATTCTTTCAGCCTGTATTTATTTATCTATTCTTCTGCACCAGCAGCTGTGTTGCAGTGTTGTGGAAGTGGGAAAAAATCTTTACTGAAAAAACATAACACTTCCCTCCTGCAACTTCAAAATGAAAAATGAATGCATAAAGTAAGGAACTGAGCTCTCAGCCCATCTTTTCATAGTACTCTGCATCTAGCAGAATGTGAGCTAACATCCAGGAAATTTAATTGTTCTACCTTTAATGATAGCTTATGCGAGTTAAATTCTTTTACAAAGGAAGAACATAAAAAAGAAAGAAACATATGGCAAATAATTCTGTGTGTAACTCACAGTCAGCAATTCTCAGCAAGACTGTAGTGGTTAGGTCACATTTGCACAGTGATGTAGAAGAGTTAATGCTACTGGCCATGGTAAGAGTTTAATGTTCTGTGGAATGCAAAATAATCTCCAGCAGTGTGAAAACTATGCTTAATATAATGTTAAGAACATAACGTTAAAACACTAGGAAGCATAGGGGTAAGTGAAACAGGGCCTAGGCAGTACAACTGGCCCAGAATCAAAATTTAAATTAAATAAAATCAGAATTTAAATGAAATAAAATAATTATTTTATAGCCAAATTCACTATTGTAATAAACTGTAATAATTCTGATCGTTTCTAAGAAGATAGGCCGCCAATGAATATAATCTTTAATACTCTTGATTCAAGCAAGGTGACCACTTATCACAATAATAGAGTCAGGTATAGTGGTGGCTTTAAAAGATGCCTATGGTGAAAAAAATCAGAGCACTGCAGGTCAAGATTCAAGGACACGTGTGATTATGGAGAAAACTGCAGTTAATCTATCTCCATGGTTTCGTGCTAAAATCAGTATTTTTCACTTGCATGAGCACTAGATTAATTCATGTTCTGTTTTTCAATTATTACATGGTTTCCCGCATAGGGCAAGAAGCATTTCAGGAGAAAAAAAAATGTCTTCAGTTACATATATGTAGTTTTGGAGGAGGAACAAACTATTACAATAAAAAAGTAATTGGTTTAGCTTGAAAATATATTTCAAAATATTTTTTGATAATGTAGCTGTGAAGATTAGAAAAGTCTTAGTCTCAGACAATTGTATTTCAATGACTGTCACCCAGACCAAAAAAAAAAAATTCCTTCTAGCAGAAAATCCTTGTGGCCCAAACAAAGGAATATCCTTGAGGAAAAAATACACTGTACGTGCTAACTTCCCATCTGGCCACGTGACACTAGTGCTGATGAATATTTAGGTAATCTTATGAGCAGTTCTTGCAGTCTTCTGCTCTTTGCTGTTTCTGCAGAAAGCAACCCAGTGGGCACAGAAACTAAAAGCAGTGTAACAGGAGGTGCTACCATTTTTCTGCTGTTGACGGAGATCTGGGAAAGGGAATGTCTACGTGAAAGAGGTAGTGAGGATTATAAGCACTATTAGTCTATTTAGAGGAAATATTTAGATTTAGGGCTCCTCTCTGCAGCTCTTCCAGTACATCACATAAAATGGAAACATTTCTGGTCTCAAAGAAATGATATTCCAACCACAAGACTGTTCACTATTTCATTAGGAACTCTTGAGAAGGAATTATCTTAGTCTAGAAACCAGCAGCAGGGCAGATACTAACAAGAAGCCTTCATGATCTCTGTCCGTTCTGTATATGAGCAGTAAAACAAACAAACCCAAACCTGATATTGGTTTATGACAGCTCAGAAGGATTTTCTGTATTATTTACTGTTCTCTTCCTAGATGTGACAGTATGTCTTTTACTGGACTGTTTAAAATGTGGTATGTAGAATGTATTGATATTAATAACATAACTCTGCTGCATTACTGAGCTTTAAAATAGGCATTGCCTTTTCCTGACCAAGAAATCAATACAATACTGAAGGCTAATGGTCATTGTGCTTAATGGTTTGAATTAAGTGATAAAGTATGCAGAGTGCATAGGAGATGAAAAGAAAGATAGAAAGTTGTATAAGTGATACTTTTGTATGGTATAACCAGGTTTTGTTCTGGCTTGTTATTTTAGAATTATTTTTTTCTCTTTGTGAAGTCTCTAATAAAATCTATTGCAGTTCAGGATGTTCTGCAGCTTTCTATTTGAGACATCTTCTTGATATTGTTTTCCGATCGAGTTTCTTATCCAGCAGAGTTTCTCTGCGGTGTTAAGAATTCATTTTTTCTCATCAAAATGTTTGTTGTGAGCTCATAAATTGTCTAAATATGAAAATCTTCATCCTCCTCTCTGGTTTCAGACTGGACTTTCCAGATTTAGTATAACATGACTGTAATAATAATATAGTTTTCTTCAGAACAGTGTTAGAATTTAGAAACAATTTAAAAATCATGCTCACATAGCAGAACTAGTTCTAACAAGATCTTCCTGTGTCTTTCTGGCTTTTGTAGAATGGCAAGGAATGCAAATGAGGAAGGTGGTGGGGATGATACTAGTTTTAATTTCAGCTGGAAAATGTTCACAAGCTGGGACTACCTGATTGGCAATCCTGAGACAGCAGATAATAAGTTTGCCTCCATCACAACAAGCTTTAAGGTAAAATAGAGCTCACTAAGGAGAGGCAACCTTATTTGTCTTTCACGCTGGTGTGAATCAGATGGAACTAAGGTCAAATATTAGCTGTGCCTGGGGCCTAGAAGCTCAAACTAGAATTGGTAGCTCTATAAAACATTTTGCTCTTTTCTCACACATGCACATTTTTAAAGTGTGACAGTTCCTTTTCTGGCAGCTAATCACACATTTATCCTACTGGGTCGCCCAGCCTCATAGCACCTTGCAAGCTGACAGAACATGCTGGTTTCTTTTTGGCGCATGAGTGCAGGTGTAACAAGGCTCAATGGGGACACACTCAACAGAGCAAGGTGAACTCTGGGGAGCAAAAACCCAAGGGTCTGCCAGGGTCCAAAACAGATTTTATGCGACAATATAAGCTCGTCTCAAAACATGATGTCCAGGTGTGCATTCGCATCTTCATAATTTATTTAACTGACTTCTAACAACTGCGGAAGCAATGTGGATTCTTGACCATTAAAGTACTCATAATATTCTTTTCTTTCTAACAAGTGCAGGAAGCTATCGTGGAGGAGCAGGAGAGCCGAAAAGAGGAAAATATTCACTTGACTAGATTCCTGAGGGTTCTTGCTAACTTCTTAGCCCTATGCACACTTGCTGGGAGTGGCTACCTCATCTTTTTTGTTGTCAGAAGATCCCAGAAATTTGCCCTGGAAGGTCTGGAGAACTACGGGTGGTGGGAAAGAAATGAAGTTCGTGCTAGCACATTTCTAAGATAGATGTGGTTTGAAACTGTGTTCCTCTACTCTGCATGTTGCCTTTTTTCCCTGAGAATTTAAATACTCTGAGTGTGAGTGGTAAATGTCTAACCAAAGAATTGTTCTTGTCTCTCTGCTTCCTGCTTCATTAAAATGATTACTCCTTGGTTGGTTCTTTCAAGTGTCCCTTTGAATTTACTTTTCATTTGAGGCCTTTACCTTTCCTTCTCTGTGCTCTTAAGATTGTTTTCCAGCCACTCTATGGACTCACAAGATCTCTTCAAGGAGCCCACTCTCCTGTTGCTTTCCTCCTGAGACTGGCCCAAGCAAAGTAACTGGTGTGTGTGCATATCTAAGGTTACTTGGGGCCTCATGGATACAACTCTGCAGTGTAGCAAACTCATGCCTTTCAGCTCCAGCTGCCCAGTCCAAGAGTCCAATACCATTTTTTTGTGCTTAATTGCTTTCTTCTAGAGCAGATGCAGCCTTGCCTGACAGAGGTGTATAGCGATAGAGATTGTGTTTGCTATAACAGTACGCAAGTAAGCACCTGAAGTCAGTGTTGCTGTATGAAAACCTGGGCAGGTTTTACTTTCTTAGCAAAGACATGTCTGTGTATCTTGTAAAACTAGCTGTTTGTTATTTAAAGCTCATCTTCTGAGCTGGAGTGTAAAGTAGATACCTGATTTAAGATAAGGCAAAAAGATGCTAACCTCACAAAGATGCTGGGATGGGGGACAATGGAATGAGGAAAGTCAATCCTTAATTTTCAACACCAAAACCTGACTGAGAAAGTAACATAAAAAACTCCAGCAATCCACCTCTGGAATCCAGAGAAATGGGGTTGTTGAAACTGGGTTAAGTTATTTAATAAAAGTTATTACGTTTTGATCTGATGGGAAAGAAAAGTCACGTACAAAACTGCTTGGCTTAAAGCAACACGAGCTCTAAGTGTGACAACAGACTAGCAGATGAAGACAGTTCAGGAGGAATTCAGCTTTCTCTCAGCTGAAAGATATGGTAACAGATTTGTCCTAAGAAGAACTGTGCTACCGAAACCTGTTGTATTAGCTTATGCTGCAATCTGGAAAGTAGTTAAGCATATGCATGTTTACATTCATTGTTTTGTTTGCTTTAGAAAAAAAAAATACTTCTAGGGAGACTCTGTATTACAGAACTAAGATCTAGAGCAGGTGTGTCTCTAAAGGAAAGTGGATAAGGCAACATTGCTGTTATTTGGCTGAAGAATGGTAATGAACATATTTGTGAGGTATAAATATTGCCCTTGATTGGATATTAATATTTAATTACATAAATATATTTGGCTTCTATGTAACAGCCATTTAAACATTTTTCTTATTTTCTAGATCAAGCTCTTTTATGTTTGTATCATTAATAAATGAATTGAGATTTTGATCAGAAAAAAAACCCAGAAACACTTAATGTACTAGTTAGAGCAAATGAAAGTGCAGCTCTTACATACAATTCAAGCAACAGTATGTAAAAATTGACATTCTTCATAAAAATACTAAGCTCCTTTGGTAATAAATTTCTTTTCATCACATTGGATGTATTAAGGGATTAAAAAATGTTTACATGTAATTATGGTGTCCTTGGAGCAACCCGAGGTAAATACATTTTATATCATCTGTTCCTGAAGCTCACAGCCTAATAAAGTGCCACTGGTGACTTTGTAGACAAGACCTTTTTCTCTCTGACTATCCCGCTCTGTCATAATGTTGTAAATTTTTAAACTCCCTCTCCTTATCAGCAGTACCTAGTTCTGTCAGATGGCAGTTCAGATAAAATTGTCTAGTGTGTCATGGAGAGCAGGAAATTAGTGGAAACAGGCAGACTGGGACTGTTAAGCCCTAGCCTTTGCATCGCTCCTCATACATGGCTGTGGCCTGATGGTTGGTCATGGATGAATGATGATTCTGCTCCATGTGACAAGTTCCCCATGACTGTGGAAATTTTAGTAAAATGGAGAATAACGCCACTGATTCCCTTGGTAAAGTGTTCTGAAATTGGATGAAAATTGCTGAACAAAATTGACTTTTCTCATTTGATAGAAGGTGGTTTGCAGAGCTAGAAGGTAGTATGAGCATCTCTCTGGTTCTGAGGTACTCTGTTTTCTTAAATATACTCCTGTACTGTTTAAAAATAAAGCTACTTAAAAGCAGAGAAAACTTACGAGGAGACAGACTGATTTCTCTGAATCGGAATCATTAACAACATTTGGGCAAAGAGGAGATAAGTTTTACACACAAATTTTTTTTCCAGCAACAGAAAAGACAGAAAAGTATAGCTTTAACATTTCAGATCTTGCAAGCTGAAACAACCCCATAGATCTTTTACCAAAACTATCCTGTTATTTACTTTAATGTTCCTAGGAGAGGATATGGAGTACATTTATATTGAAGTTGTTAAGCCATGTTGTCAATGCTCTGTTTAATTCTAGAAATCATCAGGCAGCTTTTATTAGTATGAAATATAATTTCTAATTCTAATTTCTTTTTTAAAAATTAAAGTGTATTTACTAGAAAAATAGGTTTTTATTAGTGCTTTCTGCAGCAGATGCTAGACAAATCTATGACTACTGTAATTATTGTTAGTGGAAAATATAATTTATTTTAGCTAGACTACTTACTTTTAATGAACTTATCATTTAACAAACAAGCAGTCGGTGTTCAATATTTAATGTTGTGTTGGCACAGTTTGATATGCTGGGAGGCTGGTGTTTAGATGTGATTGCAGTCACAGGATTTCTTACCAGATTCACAACAGCTGGAAAAGCTTGTGTAAGCAGTAATTTTCTAGCTTTTAGAGTGTAACGTGGGGACTTGGTATCTGCAGTAGTTAATGTCAGAGGGAGACAAAAAACTGTGGTTTTAACCAGATTTTTAATAATGACTGGGTGCCTCTTGGTTGTTGTTCCTTTCTTAGGGAAAATTCTATCTCAGTAGGGCAGAGAGGGCTTTCGAAATTCACTCAGCAGATAGCGATTATAAGACCACATTGACCATCAACCATAACTCTACCATGTATGCACGCTGGCATGTTGCCCCTCTTCTGGCATATGATTCCACAATTTTTAAGTCTCACAGAGCAGTGAAACTGCCACTGATAAAAACAGGGGAAGGAAATCTGCTCCAGCACCTGAGCTTCAAGATAGCAAGAAGTCCAGAATATAAATCAGCTCCTTTCTGAAATCAAACTAGATTGAAGTGGCTAAAATTCAATGGATAATTCAATGGATGATTTCTTTGTCCAGCAAAATCCTTCACAAGAAACTAAAAAGTATAATGATAATATATCTATGAAACTGTATGAGAAATGTTTATGCTTTTGAAATATAGAACCCATCATAGTTTTTGGATTTTGAAAACTCAAAGTACTACATTTTGTCTCAGTAAAACATTGCATTTTTGGATGTAATAATTTCTCACTTTGCAAGTTTCTGTGCCTCATTTCACCTCTTATCTTAATAACGTTTTTTCTCCAGAATTAGAAATGCTCGTGAAATGGGGAGCATGAATAGTCAAGGCATGGAAAAATGCAGATAGAAAGCAAATGAGAAAGAATATGCTTGCTTCAGATAAGCGGTGAAAAAGGCAGAATGTGACAAAAATATAGAAAATATTGAATGTTCAAGAGAAGGAAATGCAGTGACTTCTGTCCTTCCTCTCCCATGCAGCAACAAGGAAACTTTTGATAAATTTAGCAGGTACTATATTTAAAACTGCCCAAAGGACATACCTTTTCTTCCAAACTACATATTCACTACATCTTCCAGTATGAGAACTGAGGGACATCAAATGAACTGAGTAGAAACCAGGTTCAGAAAAAGCAAAAGGGAAGGAATGGTAGATATTGGGTGCCAGTGCTATGAATGCCAAAATTTACATCCATCTGAACAAAGACTGCTCTAAGGCATGAAAGAGAAATCCTCTGGGGGTTACTAAATAAATAAAAACCACACCTGACTTAACAAGTACCCAAACTGAATATAGTTGGAGTCTAGGACTTATTATTCATATAAGTTTGCCCTGTTATTGCTCATCCCTGGGCATCTGTTGGGCTAGGCCAACCTTTAGTGTGGCCCAGGACATCTCTTCTTATGAACACCTTTGCCCCTGGAACTTGTTGCCACAGGAGGATATGATACACCAGAGTCAGTGAGGATTCTGGTCTGAGGTTCAGCGGTATCACAGCAGGACTGAACATTTCTATTGATAAACAGGATTGTTACAATACAGTTTGTTACAATAAGTTTGAATTTTAAGAATCCATGATTGGTTGTGTTGGCTGTAGTTGACTCCTGCAGCTTTGCCGTCTTGGGCTATATTGGGTATAATTCTTTGGTTTAATGGTGACTGACTTTGAAGACTTATCTTAAAAAAAAGTTCATTATGAACTAAAAATAACCAATATTTTGATCACCAACATCTCATCACCTTGTAGAAGTACCAAAAAATAAGAACATCCACAATTCTCATAAGAGAAAATTTATTCAAAGCGTTAACATGTGAAACCCAAAACAGCTGTTAATATAATAAGGTAAAAGGTGGCAGGAGATTCATATATAAATTCTGCCTTTTTCAGTTATAAACCCAAGTGCTGCAAGAGATGATAACTACAGGTTTTTGGTTGGTTGTTTCTTTTTTGAGTGTTATGAGATGACAGTGACTTCTTGTTATTTTAACAAGATAATCCTAGTTACAAATAACACTATCTAAATGCATAGGAAACATCAGTGAATTCCTGTAATCATTAAAAAAAATCTACATACTTCTTACAGGGTGCCACAAGCCATGCACAGGATGCACTACTGATTGCCTACAAATGCAAAAATCCATTAGCTCTAGAATTCATTAAAAATCAAGAACAGAAAAACAGCAAAAAGAAAGCCATTTATTTATTTTCATTAAGAACACCAGTCTTATGGATGAAACTTTTTTACATATTTGTAAGTAAGTGAATTTATTTGTTGGTGTAGTGCCTTTCTGCTACCATATTATTTCTGCGAAGCAAAAGTAGGCCTAACTCTCTTGGTGGCACAAAGTTAGAAATTTATTAAAATTTATAATAGTTCTAGCAAAATGGATTCCAGCACGGCTGAGAAATGCTGTTTCAGAGTAACTGGAAGACTAGAGTTCTGTGAACAGTTATGTTTTTTGTGACTAAATCAATTATTTGTACTTAGTTAATCTCAAATAAACATCTTTGTGTTTTCCAGCAAACTTTGTGACTTAGATTGAGACAATGATTTCTGTTTCTTGTTTGTTGTTTTTAGTTCCTTAAAGACACATTTTTGTAATGAAATTTTATTTTAAATTGAAATTGAATAACTGCACTCTTAAACTTTTTCAATTATTTTCATTTTTGGCTGACACAATGAATTGGAACAAAAAGGTTCAAGTAGACTTGAAATAATTTTCAGCAATCATTTAGGAATGTTACATTATTAGAATGTCTCACTTGTCTGTAGAATTTGTGACCTATGTTGTATTTCAAACTTTCTATAAAAGCTAGTTTTCTATAAAAGACTGTTTTTCTCAGTCTGCTTTCAGTAAACTTGTTTACTGCTATGATGATGAGATAATTTTATTAGAAGTTTCTAAGAAAATCAGGCAGAAAGAAGTAGGGTTGATTTGGATTTGTTTATGCAGTGAGAACATTAGATCTGAGAGAGACTAGAGAGCTGGGCAGTCACAAACTGTATGAAATTTAACAAGAGCAAGTGCTGGATTCTCCACGCGGCACAGAGTAATCCTGGTTATATGTACAAATTGGGGTATGAGAGGCTGGAGAGCACCCCCGCAGAAAGAGATGTGGGGTTTTGGGTAGGTGGCAAGTTGAATATAAGTCAACAGTGTGCCCTGGCAGCCAAAAAGGTCAACTGTGTCCGGGGGTGCATCAAGCACAGAATAGCTAGCCAGTCGAGGGAGGTGATTGTCCCAATCTATACTGCACTAGTGTGGCCCCACCTCGAGTACTGTGTGCAGTTTTGGGCACCTCAATATAAGAAGGACATCAAACTACTAGAGTGTGTCCAGAGGATGACGACCAAGATGGTGAAAGGCCTCGAGGGCAAGACTTATGAGGAGTGGCAGAGGTCACTTGGCTTGTTCAGCTTGGAGAAGAGAAGGCGGAGGGGTGACCACAGCGTAGATGGATGTGCTGATCTCCTCTTTCTGGTGACCAGCAATAGGAGACAAAGAAATGGAATGAAGCTGCATCAGGGAAACTTCAGATTGGACATTAGGAAAAGGTTCTTCACTGAGAGGGTGGTCGGTCACTGGGGCAGGCTCCCCCGGGAAGTGGTCATGGCATCAAGCCTGTGAGAGTTCAAGGAGTGCCTGGATGATGCTCTTAGTCATATGGTTTAGTTTTAGGTAGTGCTGTGAGGAGCAGGGAGTTGGACCCAATGATCCTTATGGATCCTTTCCAACTCGAGATATTCTATGATCTGTGACATACAGAATTTACTTCAGGTGAGATCTCAGATAAATTTAATTTAGTGCAGTATTTTTGTAGGAATGTTTTTTATAGAACATCTATGTGTCTATTGGGAAGATGTGGTAGAGACGTAGCATAAAACAATATTGGAAAAAGGTTTTGCTAAGTTCTCTGATAGTAGAATTTTAGTTAAAACGTAGGTTCTAGTCAGAATAACTAACATTTCATTACTTCAGGGTTCAAGTGAAATGTAAAATGAAAAAAAGATCTCATATATCCATCTGCAGTAGTTTGCATCTGCCTTTTCATCCCTTTCTTCCTTTGTGAAAACATCTTGTGACTCCTAGAGTGGATTTTGTTCTTCATTAAATCAAAAACCAAACAAAAAGTAGTAATGGAAATACACCCTCCACCCAAATCAATAATAATAAAAGAACTTGCCTCTAACATTTCACTGTAATTTTTTTTTTTTTTTTCCCCTTCTCAGGTGAACATGGTTATGTCACTTTTAGGAATGTTCTGTCCAACTTTATTTGATGTAATCAGTTCTCTGGAAAACTACCACCCTCGAATAGCTCTAAGATGGCAGCTGGGAAGAATCTTTGCTCTTTTTCTTGGCAATCTCTACACTTTCATTATCGCCCTAATGGATGAAATCAATCTCAAGGCAAGCTGTTTACTTCCCTTCACTATTTTTAACATGTAGCTGGGCAAGGGTGAGTATTTCCAGCCAGATATGTCAGCGAAAGACGTTCTTTTCTTTCTGTACTATAAATCACATCCATGTCTGAGCTGGTAATGGAGTCCTGCAGTAGAAAAGGTTGAGAATTGGTAACAAGCTCATGTTGTTTTTCTTTCCCAATTTATTTCTTTACTTAGTTGGAAGAAGAAAAGATAGTCAAGTATAACATGTCAATATGGGAAGCCAGTCTGTACAATGGTACTATTCCAGAAAATTCAACTGCTCCTCCAATACAGGTGGACCCTGCAGATGTCCCCAGAGGACCATGCTGGGAAACAATGGTAGGACAGGTAATGTAACTGCTTTGAGTTGGTATTTGAAAATAGATCATAGTCTGTTACAAGATATGATATCTAAACCCTCTCTATTTCTGCTAATAAGTGGTATTAAGTTGGGAAAATGTGAGGAAAAGCAGATGTCAGACTTTTTCTTG